AAGCTGGTCTCAAACTCCTGGCCTCATGTGATCCGCCCACCTCGGCCTCCGAAAGTGCTGGGATTACAGGCTTGAATCACTGCGCCTGGCCTATTTTCCCACATTTCTAAACTGTCTTCTTCAAATTTTAATCTTCCATGTACCCACAAAAATTAGAAATTGTAAATTAAAGAAAAGAAAAAAATCTTTAATCTTCTGCCTTCATAGCCATGCCAGCAAGGAGTCTACTTCCTATTTCAGTGAGAATTAGAAAGAGAAAGAAGTTCCTTATGCTCCCACAACCACATGTATCAATCTATCTGCCTATGCACCTGAATACCTGACATTCTCTCCTGTTACTATAAATAAATTGTGATATTGAGAGGTGACAACGTGCTAGCCGCCCTTGCTCACTCTCGGTGCCTCTTTGGCCTCGGTGTCCACTCTGGCCACGCTCAAGGAGCCCTTCAGCCCACCGCTGCGCCGTGGGGACACGTCTCTGGGGCTGGCTGAGGCTGGAGCCAGCTCCCTCTGCTCATGGGAAGGTGTGGAGTGAGAGGCACAGGCAGGAGCCAGGGCTGCAGGCCGCAGCGCTCTTGGGCTGGTGCGGGTTCCGGATGGGCGTGGGCTCCACGGGCCCTACACCATAGCCAGCCAGTGCCTGCTGGGCTTGATGGGGAACGAGCTCCCTCTGGGATGCCAGAGTGCCCAGGCAAGGTGCCGCAATGTCCCCTGGCAAGTGCCAGTGAGAGGTGAAGCCAACTGGGCTTCTGGGTCCCCTGGGGACTTGGAGAACTTTTCTGTGTAGCTAAAGGATTGTAAACACACCAATCAGCACTCTGTGTCTAGCCAAAGGATTGTAAATGCATTAATCAGCATTCTGTGTCTAGCTAAAGGATTGTAAACGCACCAATCAGCACTCTGTCAAAAGAGACCAATCAGCTCTTTACAAAATGGACCAATCAGCAGGTTGTGGGTGGGGCCAGATAAGGGAATAAAAGGAGGTGAACCAAGCCAGCAGTGGCAACCCTCTCCTGCTGTGGAGACTTTGCTCTTTTGCTGTTAGCAATAAATCTTGCTGCTGCTCACTCTTTGGGTCCGCACCATGTTTATGAGCTGTAACACTCACCACGAAGGTCTGCAGCTTCACTCCTGAAGCCAGCGAGACCATGAACCTACGGGGAGGGAGGAACAACTCTGGACGGGAGGAACGAACAACTCCAGACACCGCCACCTTTACGAACTGTAACACTCACCACAAAGGTCTGCAGCTTCACTCCTGAGGCCATCTAGACCACGAACCCACCGGAAGGAAAAAACACCACCAGACGCGCTGCCTTTAAGAGCTGTAACGCTCACCGTGAAGGTCTGCAGCTTCACTCCTGAAGTCAGCGAGACCATGAACCCACCAGAAGGAAGAAACTCTGGACACACCATCTTTAAGAACTGTAACAGTCACCACGAGGGTCAGTGGCTTCATTCTTGAAGTCAGCGAGACCAAGAACCCACCAATTCCGGACACAATATTACTTAAGGATATTACTCCAGCAATTGTCCTCTCCCCTAAAGGAAACAGTTTTTCCTACTGGACCATTAGAAAAGAAAGATATAATTCCAGTTATTTAAAAAAAAGTCTCATCACCACACATTCCTTTGAAGTTCACAAGCACTCACTGTGAAAAAAAAAAAAAATTGCCCTTCTCATTGGCTCTTTCTTCTCAGTTCCTTTGTAAATTCCTTCTGACCACTCAGACCACTGACTTTAGAATGCCCCAAGTAGGTTTTCTTGGACCTCATTCCTTTTGTAAATGCATTCACTTCCTAGGATCTCATCCTGTCACATGAGTTGATGTATCATCTGTAAGTGACAAGTACTCACTATCAAAGTCAATCCCATATTTCTCTCCTAAAGTGAAATTAATAATACTAACTCCTTCCTCAGAATTTTCCTGTGTGTATCTAATTGGCTTCTCAAACATAACTGATCTGTAATTGACTTCAATTTCCCATTTTCCCCAAACCTGCTCCTTCCTCAGCCTTACTCATTTTACAAATGGTAACTTTGTTTCTCCATTGTTCATACCAACTTACTTGGATTATCCTTGACTTCTTTCTTTCATATGCAATCCCTTAGCAAATGCTGTCAGCTAGCTCTAGCTCTTTCTTCTAAACATATCTAAAACCTGATTCCTTCTCACTCTTCCGTTCTCCCTTAGTCATTCACCCTCCATTTAACTCCTAGATTACTGCAACAATCTTGCAATTAATCTCACTTTTTCTGCCTTATCCGTGTAAAGTCAGCTGTTTCTACAACCAACACATTTCACTTTTAAAACCTAAATCTGATAAGATTCTTCTGCTCATAAACCTCCAGTAGACTATCTCACTCACAGAAAAAGCTAAAATACTTGCAATAACCTACAGAGTTTAGCATAATCTTCCCCTACATTACCGTTCTCATCCCCTATGATTCTTCCTCTCATTCAGTTAGTCTATATACACTGGGCTCCTTCTGTCTTTCACATACCTAAGCCTTCTCTCACCTTGTGGCCTCTGTATTTGTTCTCCTCACCTTCTGAAACTTTTCTCCTTACATTAGCATGACTCACTCCCTTATTTGCTTCAGGTTCCCTGTTTACCTACATAAAATAACCAGTCTTCTTCCCACCTACCAGTCCTCCCCATTTCCTGTATCCTGCTTTATACTTCTCCATAGGACTAATCACTGTCTGACAAACTAGATATTCACTTGTCTGTTTAATTATGGTTTGCCTCCAACACAAGACAATATGCTCTTTGAGAAAGAAGACTTTTTCTCTTTTGATTATTCCTATATTCTTAGCATTCAGAAAAATGCTTGGAAAATAGCAGCGATCAATAATTTTTTGAATGAATGAGTAAGTAATATTCCCTTTCAATGGTGTATATTCTCTTTGCAAAACGTATTAACAATTATTGTGTATTCAGGAACATTGACAACACCAAGAGGATGTCTATTTCTAGAGTAATGGCTTTCAAAATTTGGGAGTAGGTGGTGAGAAAGGGTGTGATATCATCCTTACGCTAAAACTTCTATTTAGCTTGTATATGTTCACAAACAACCAAAAACTACCAAAATCTCTTTGAGCCTTCCTCTTTGATATTGAGAAAAGTCTTAGACTTGCTATTAATACTTCATGAGCCAGATGACATTAGCAAAATGATGGTTGCTCTGGACTAAATTGTGTCCCCCCAAAAAATGTTGAAGCCTTAGCCCCCAGTATGATGGTATTTGGATGTGGTCCCTTTAGGAGATAATTAAGGTTGAATGAGGTAATGAGAATAGGGCTGTCATAATAGGATTAGTGGCTTATTAAGAAAAAGAAGGAGAAGAAGGAAGACTTGGAGTAGGGGAAGATATTTCTCTGCCTAGAAAAGGACACGGCAAAAAGGCAGCAATCCATAAGTCAGAAAAAAAGGCCAGGAACGGAATTGGCCAGCACCTAGATCTTGGACTTCCAACCTCCAGAACTGTGAGAAATAAAGGTCTGTATTTAACAGGTCTATGGTATTAATATTTTGTTATAACAGCCCAAGCAGCCTAATACAATGATCATGGCTAACTACTGGGTTGTTAAAGGGTTGCCATGTAACAATAGTTTAAAGAGAGTCAGGCAGAAAAACATAGTTTTAATATTGTCTTTACCTTATCTTAATAATTCATAGATTGAGTAATTCTGGATTAGATTGTTATACACTTGGATATTCATTGTATACTGTATATCAGCCGAATAAAAATGCTTGTCCTAACCTTAGGCAATATTTGTCTTAAGCCTCTAGATATATATTCACACAGAAGGACTAGATGCAGAGACTATAGTATTGACTATTTCTATTTTGCTGTTCTGAAACATGCAAAATGCCATTTGTTGATGTTACTGAAAATTTCTTGGTCCCAGATGTCATTTATCTTGTACTTCCTAATACTTTCTCCTAAGCTAATGCTGGTTTTCAATGAATTAGTATTTTATAAGTATCTGTTGAATGAATGGACAAATGAATGTATCACATGAAAACAAAAGATTTACTTTCTGTAACTATTTTTTAAAAATATAATACACATCTTTTTATTGTTATATAATCTCTCTTTCCATAATGTAAAATATACAATTAATGTTTTTAAAAAAGATGTCATCTAGTTCATTAAAGTGAAATATTTCCTGTTCCAGTAACTTTTTAATGTCATTCACTTACAAAAGCTCCCATTGGGATTTGGGTGACGTACTATAATTTAGAATAAAATAGGACAGAACAAAATGAAAGCCTTCTTTGTAAAATTTGCTTTTTACTTTGTAAAAATTGCTTTGTTTAACCTTCTAATGAATCGCAAATATTAATCTCATGCTAGAGAAGAAGAAATTGGGGCTTTGAGGAAGTAACTTGCCCCAAATGGTATGGGCAGAAAGAGTATCCAAATTAAGGATCATCTGACTTCATTTTCCTTTCACAACAGCAAGCTGCCTCCAAGGCCTTACTTCTCTCCTTTTCTGACATAGATACAAATATAGATACGTATGAAGTCTCTTCCAGAATTTTCCTCAGACAGGGGGAGAGGAAAGTTATGCTCAAACCTATCTTCTCCTGGAAATATCTCTAATTTAATCCGCATGATCTTATTTTAGTTTCCATTTAAAATAAGCTTCACTATTTCTGAGCTGAATTTTTACTCTATTCCACAATATTATCACTTATCCATGTTTTACTTGGCTCCAAGTTCCTCATTGGCATGGTCTCCTCAGATTTTAAACTTTAAAACACAATATATATTCCATATATGTGGAATATATGTGATATATATTATACAATATATGTTAATTACATATATGTAATTATTTCTTTCCGATTAAAAGAAAACATGTTCCTTAAAGATAAAGGAAAGCACAATCAGAAAAACTAAATTCACTTGTCATACAACTACCCAGAAATAAACACTATGAACATTTTGGTGTTTTCAGTCTCATATTCTATACATATATTTGCACATTACTATACACTTTTATTTCCAAAATTGTTTCATAGTTTCATACTCTACTTATTTTATATCTGTCTCTACATTTGATTATGTCATGTTATTAAATTCATCTTGTCATCTTATTGTCCATCTATATGCATGAAGGAGATAAATCTGGTGTCTCTATGCATCTGTGTTTGTATGTGTGTGTGAATATGCATGTGTGTATATATGTGTAAATGCATGTGTGCATATGTTTGTGTATGCGCAGCAGTGTGCTGGAACTGGTTTGTGCCAGTGAGAACTGTGTGAGAATCAGTTGTGAGTATTTTTTTCCATAATTCACTTTCAATTAAATCATGTGGGTAGTTTGAAAACCATGGTGGGAATAGCCACATCTGGCAAATAGGCAGTTGCTATAAATCAGGGGTTTAAGTTTCTTAAATTCCAGAGAATCACTTTTTCACCACACAGCTAGGTTTGGATGTAAAGCGTATGCTAACATAATAAAACAAAAGATTCCTATACTTTCATGTTCTAGAAACTTACACATGGCACATACATTATCTGTTGCCTGATACCGAGCCACAGGATCTCTTATACATTGCTGATGGTAATGTAAAATGGTATACCCACTCTAAAAAACAATATAACACTTTTAAAGTAGACATTCACTTACCATTTGACTCAGCAGTTGTCCCCTTGGGAATTTTTTTCCAGAGAAATGGAGACACATTTCTGTATAAAAACATACATAAATGTTAGCGTCAGCTTTAGTCATAATAGCTTCAAACTGTAAACAACTGTAATATCCTAGTAAGTGCTTAAGGAAACTGTAGTGCTTCCATATCATGGACTACTACTCCACAATAAAAAGGAATGGGTTATTGTTGCATACAATCACTTGGCTGAATTTCAAGAGAATTATTCTGAGTTAAAATAGGCAGTCCCAAAAGTTCACTTAATTTTGATACTCATTATATGGCATTCTTGAAATAACAGGGTTGTAGAGATGGAGAACAGATTAGTGGTTGTGAGGGGTTAGGGATGAGCTAGAGAAAGAGGTAAGAATGAGTATAAAGAGATAGTATGAAGGAGCCTTCTGGTGATGGAATGATTCTGTATTTTCTCTATCGTAGTGGTAACATGGGTCTACACATGTAAGAACATTGCATAGAACAAATTAATACATGTAAAACTGATTAAATTTTAACAAGATATGTGGAATGTATCAACATCATTTTCCTAGGAGTTATATGTTACTATGAGGGAAACTGAGTCAAGAGTAAATAGGACCATTCTGTATATCTTTTTTATTATTTGTTGTAGAGCTATAATTTTTCAAAATAGTTTTTTTTAAAAAAGAAACCTGTTGCATTAACAGAGATTTTACGTGCATTTTTTTGCTAATAGGGTTATTTTGCTAATATTGCCATAACAAAGTACCACAGTCTCAGCAACTTAAACAACAGAAGTTTATTTCCTCACAGCTTTGGAGACTGGAATTCCAAGATCAAGGTGCTAGTACATTGGGTTTCTTCTGAGGCCTCTCTTCTTGGCTTGCAGCTAGTCACCTTCTTGTTGTCTTCATACGATCTTTCTTCTGTGTATGTGCTTCTGGTGTCTTTCCAAGCACCCAGATTTTCCCTTTATACGAAAACGCCATTAAAATTGAATTAGGACCCACCTTCATTGCCTCATTTTAACTCAATTGCCTATCTAAAGGCCCTGTTTCCAGTAATATCTCATTCCGAAGTACTGAGGGTTAGTGTTTTAGCATGTGAACCTTGGGGAGAAGAGATACAGTTCAGCCCATACTACTAAAAAATCATAGAGAAATAGATTCCCTATTTCTCACAATAGATTCACAAGAGATAAATGTCTTATATTGTCATCAAATGTCAGTTTGAAGCTAGAGCAACACTAGAGTCTGTGCCTGGAGATTAAGCCATTTATGGTCAGTGGTTTTTTTTCTTTTTTGCTTGTGTGTTGCTCAGAAGAAAAATCCTAAAGTTACTTCCTTAAAAAATAATTCATATTGATGCTATTTTTCTATTCTACTCAATGAGACAACTAATCCAAAATTATAGGTGAAAGTCTGGCCAGTGTTGGGGTGATTCATTTCTTGTAGCCTTCTACACTTGTCAGGAAAATTGCCCGCTCACCCAAGAATTCATGGTTGTCTGGATAATCTCAACAAAGTGTAGGGGAACCCACAACCCTGATGTCTGATGCTCACTGTCTCCCTTGTAACTACTGCAGATTCCAGTGAGAAACCACTTTCATGTATGTGTTCTTTCTTTGTGTTATTAAAACATCATTTTGTTTTTCTTTTCAACAGTATGCTTTGTCTTACATGTCATGTTGAAAGAGGAAAAATGGATGCTCCCTGATATTTTTAAGTAAATATAATTTGTGGCCTGGCCTTAGCTTGCATCTCTTTCAACTGCATCTTGTTAACATTCTCTTCTCAGGAATTGATGGGTACAATCTCAGTTCAGACCTCTGTCTTTCTGTCTTTCATTTGAGAATGCATCATTTGTTTGCCTTCAGCATTTGTTCTTAGAATTGTTTCTTCTAGAATGACATGGACACAGATCCCCATAATCCTAATCCTAATCCCACAATTTCTACCCACTTGATTTCCAGGCAACACACACATATGTGTGTGTGTGTGTGTGTACGTATGTATATATGTATATATATATATCTACAAAAGTAAGAAAGGGGAAAAGGCAAACATTATTTTGACCACCTTACAAATCTGTACTTTATCTCCCAACATCTAAAATTGTTTATTTATCAGAATATCTGTAGCCAAAAGATATTCCTTGAAATATCAGGTCATGCAGTTTCCTCATAGCGTCACATCTCTCTGTTTAGCAAACATTTTGAGTGTTTACTGTATGTCTGTCATTTTCTTGGTATGGACAGATGCTGACCATAAGAATAAAAACATTTTTGACATCCTTTGTCGAAAATATACATGGTGAATCTTGTATTCAATGACATGATTTATAGTTAGAAAAGATAATTGTTAAGTATTTAAGAAATAGTTTTAATTGAAAAATTATTTTGGCTTATCTTCACCCAGTTTTAACATCGGTGAAAGATATCTTCTTTTTTGTGCACTGTGATTTATATATACACATGCACACATAATACAGTATTTATCATGCTGCTTCTGTGAAGAAATGTAAACAACACCATTCTCAGCTTAAGTTTTCCAGCCATTTAACTTGATGGTCATTCCATGTTTAGAAACACCAAGCATGCCAAATATAATGTTTTGACAGAAATACAACATTTGCTATTTGTTGGTGTGATCATCTATCTGAAATTTGAAGTATCTTTTCTACATATAAAGAAGTTATATAAGCATCATCAACATTATACTAGGCACACATACATATAGAAATGGCCTGTGATCTAGAACACACAGTGTTCCATTCTTACTCCATTTCTGATTCGCTGAAAACCTGCATTTGTTGTGGCTTATAACTATTGCGACAAATTAAAGTCCACACTAAACAATAGATTCACGAGAGATAAATGTTTTATATTGTCGTCAAATGTCAGTTTGAATCTGGAACAACACTAGAGGCTGTGCCTGGAGATTAATTTAAGCCATTTGTGGTCAGTGATTCATTGTTCTTGTCTAAGAAACAATGACATATTGAAAAATGAACTGATTCTCTCCCTCTCTCTCTCTCTGTTTCTTTGATTCATTGAACTAGCATTTTGTCTCTCCTTCATACTTAATTAGTTACATTGCAATAAGCAGAGAATGAACTTGATTCTTCTAGTAATTTTGTTCTATTTGTCAATCTACTTAGTGTGTATTTAAAAGATACAGATTTCAGTACAAGAATCATGTCAAAACCATTTGGAATTTAATCAATTTATCAAATGTATATCAAATACTTTTTCTAACTCAAAAATATGTACCGATCAGGCCAAACTGACACTGGAAAAAGGAAATAGGAACAAATTATTTGTTAATAAATGAGAAGATAAATAATTTGTGTTTTAGATTATTTCATATACAGTATTTTTCTGTAAGAATTATAATTAAGAATTTTAAAAATAATGTTGATATTTTAAATAAATACCTCAAAAAGAACAATTTAAAAGATAATTGAACTTCTTCACAAAAACTGTTTTGCTTAGAAGCATCTTAAGACCAGAACTTAATGAAAAATAATGTAGCAATAATATTTTATATTCACTAGCACTTGTCAAATTTTAAAGCATATTCATAATCATTTCCATTCAAGTAGAAGACAGTCATTGCACTCTACAATTTTCAAAAAAATTAAGTGTGTGGTTTCTCAACATCATATGCAATTTAAATTCAACCTAATGACATCAACTGGAAAAGAAAAAGATGTTCGTGTGATTTTCCTTTATATCTTTTTCATTATTGAGCAAGAACCATCATATTCTTTAACACTGAGCAAATATATCAGACTCACTAAAAAGTAGAAAAATCTAAAAATGGAGTTACTAATAACCCATAAATGCATTGGTTAACACTGGTTTATAGATCATTATTTTAAAGAGAACCCTAAAATTCTGAAAGGACATTTCCTACCTGCCATTGTACCTTTATGTCCTAAACTCCAAACATCACTGCTACCAAGTCAGATGGAATTACTGGATTTAGATGGTAGTTTTCTCTTTCTGGAATATGGACTTAAAATATTATATTAGAGTACAGATTATGTTAAGGGTAACATCATAATACTATATATTGCTTAAATGTTTGTGTGTTTTATTTAGGAAGTTTACTTTTGAAATGAATATAGTATATGTAGTTCACATTGGAACCAACCAAAAGCATTAACACAATGCATTATACTATAAAATCCTTGTGTTTTATTAAATATACACTTGAGCACATATTTCAAATATTGTCAGTATAGTCCAATGTCTGCCAGTTGGTGCAGTTGCTAAATGTAAAGTTTATCTATTTGATCTTTAAATTTGTTTAATAATTAAGGATTATGTTTTGTTCATTTTATAACAAGGACAGAATATGAAATAAATTGTTTTTAATTTTATAAAACCCAAACATCAATTGCTTATAAAAATAATGCACTCTTGACTAGGTGATCCTAGTTTGTACTCTTCCAATATATCAGCAATTGTTTTATTAATGGCTCACCTTTAGAGTCTTTACAAAGCATTTAACTTAGCTTTCTAAAACTGAGGTTAAAAATCAGCCATCCCTTGCTATTTATAAATTCCACTTGTGAGAGGAGACATGTCCAGGAAGTCTGAGGGGTGGGCCAAGGACATTAAATATCATCACATGTATGCTTAGTGTTGGTATTTATTAGACAGTTAATATGTATTAGCTTTCCTTAATTCTTGGACCTAAGTGTTTACGGGTGAAAACATCACAACACTCTCCTAAGTTTAATTTATATCAGCACCATTTTACAGACTAGGATTACAAACAACCAATTTTGGAAGTCTATATAAACGCTGCATATAGAAAAATAAAATCCTTGCATTTCTAGCTCTCCAAGCGTTATCTTGCCATCAGGCAGCCTTAGGATTTTTGGTTTTGATTTGTCTTACTTTTGTGTATTCACATCTGAAGGAAGTTATTTGTTGAACTTCTACTTACAAGATAATTTTGATGAAAAGATTTATTTAATCAATGGTCTTATAATTCACGAAGAACAAGTTGAAGCTGGACATTCAGGTTCAGGATGCTGGTATTATTTCAT